CTTAAGAAGGAGACTAAGGTAGAAAGAAGACAAATGAGGAGATGAACCAATTCAGGATTATAACACATACATACATGGAAATGTCATAATGCAATTTCCTGTAAATCTATCTTAAACAGGAAGGTAAAACAGGTCCTGTCTGGGGTTTGGAACCAGTGAGAAGGGAGAGGATGTAAGAAAAGGGTGAAGGAGGGTGAACGTGGTGGAAATATTGTGTACTCAGGTATGAAAAATGGAAAAAGGAGACCTGTTGAAACTATTCTAAGAAGGGGGAAAGGGGATAAAGGAGAACAATGGAGGGACTAAATCTAATTAAGATATATTGTAAGCACTTTTGTAAATTTTACAATGTACACCCAGTACAACAATAATATGATAATAAAAATAAAATTAAAATTTGAAAACAGAAGCCACAAAGATTAAAAACCATGGGACAGGAACAGTTATCAATATTAAAGAAAGAAGCCAGGGAATGAGAATGCTCTAAGGAAGCAATGGTCTCCTTGTGAAATGCCTAGAGTCATAAAGTGGTCTTAGGCAAAGGGTTTGCCAGATTGACGGGTAAAACATTGCTCAGAGATGAGCAACGTGCATGCCTTGCCCATGCTCAGAGATGCAGAGAAGGGAAGGAGGCAGGATCCATAACAAGCTGACAAGCCTGTGAAACCTTGTGTTAGTTTATCAGAACTGAGAAACAAAGAAGCCACACAAACACATTGCCATTGCCCTTTAATACTCATTTCCTTTTGAGAAAAAAATTAATTTTCCTCATTTGTGAAAACTGGCTCTTGATGTCTCCTTACCACCATTTCTGATATAATTTTCTTATTGGTATTTTCTATCACTATGTCTTCTTACAAAATATACACAATATTTGTAGAAAATATGCACAAAATGTATAAAAGTAAGAGAAGGGATCCACAGTATACCTGTAACTCCACCTCCCAGGGGTAACTGCCACTAATAGAAACCTTGGTTTTTACCCTTCTGGACCAGATTTTGAGAAGTATATGACTGAAGCTCAGATTTTTTGTTTGTCTTTGTTGACTTATTCAGAAAAACCTATCCTGCTTCTGTATGTGTGTAGCTACCTCTATTTCTTCTGTGCTTTTGTGATTTTTCCCTTTTTCTTTTTTTTTTTTTTAGTTACTGGGGTTTGAACTCAGGGACAACACCCTGAGCCACTCTCCCAGCCCTTCTTTTGATGAGTTTTTTTTTCAAGATAAGGGCTCGTGAACTATTTGCCCGGGCTGGCTTCAAACCACGATCCTCCTGATCTCTGCCTCCTGAGTTACAGAAACAATCTTTTTGGCTGAAATGTATGAACATGCAGTATGAGCTAGAATGTATTTCTTTTCTCCAAATGGTTGGCCAGTTCCCAACACCATTTTATACTAATTCATCTTGCCCTCTCTCCATTTCTCTGAAATGCTATTTAGTGCTGTGGTCAGAGTTAGGGTTCTCATACTCTCAATTCTTACATATATAATTGGGGGAAGGGAGACAGATCCTTCTACTTAACGAAGTTTTAATTATAACAGCTGCTGTAGTCAAAGAAGCAAAAGCATAATACAAAAGCATAACACTCAAAGACTAATCGACCACTTATAAAAATTAGTCTCTATGCAAATATCCTTCTGCATTTAACACTAGATAACCTCTGCATGCTATCAACATTTTACTAGTTAGTCCCTCACTGACTATTAGAAATTGCTGCCAATACAACATAAGTTGGCTGTTGAGGGAAACTACAAAATGCAGATAAAGTATTAATGGGAACTGTTCCTGTCACATAGTAGGCAGTGACTGGTGAAAATGTGGCAGTCAATCCTGGTAATAATGCAAAAAGAAAACTGCATAACAGATGTTTCTAAAGAAAATGAATGCAAAACAAAGGATTAAGAGAGATCCCTAGGAAAATGAGAACATGGAACTTTTTTTTGTCCTAAAGAGTACCCTGCTTATAAAGGTGATTGTAAAGTCAAATTTGAGCCCCAAACAAAATAGAAATTTCACTCAATCCTTCCTTTGTTGTCTCCCAAAATAGTACATGCCTATTATAATAGGCATAACCTAAAATTTGGCAAATATAACATAAAATAGACTTACCGTTAATTTTATTTTTACTACCTTCTTAAACATTTCATGGTCGATTTCATTTTCCCAATACCATGAAACGTTGGTGTCAGTTTCAGGTAGTCTTTTTCTGATAGGGATTAGAGTCAAACCTGACACACTTTAATAAATTCTGAAGATTCTAATTTGGTTTAAGCTTTTCTTATGATTGTAACAATGCCATTCACTGCTGTTTTATAATAAAATTCTTAAAAGAAAATTTTATATTCTTTTTATAAGTTTCCTGTCTAATCAAATATCTTCTAGTTGAACTCTAGAATCTTTTGATAAATTCTCCTTTGTACCTTTGGGATTTTACGTTAGTATTTCTTATTAATGTAAGCTCACATTTAGTAAGAATTTGTTGTATCAGGCACTTGCTAAGCATTTTCTGTGTGCTACTATATTTAATTTGGCCAATTCCATTATAAACTACCATCATTATTCCTATTTATAGCTGAGGAAAAAAAGAATTAGATAGGCTAAAAAACGTGTTCCATATCATAAAACAGGTAAAAGGCCAAGCTAGCCTTGGAACATGTGTACTTCAGATGTCAAAGTTCACTTCACATTAGTATTTCCCCATTTTGGAACTCATTTTTTTCCCTTTATTTTAAATGTACAGTTAAAGTGTTGTATTCTCTGTAGGAAAAACAGGTTCAGAAGTTACTTAGTAATTTTCCCAAAGTCTTCCCTATGTGGAATTTATCTAAATTCCCTTCACAAAAAATTTTCAAACTTATAAAAATTCATAGTGTCAGTCCAACAGTTAAATCAGACAAATATAAACACAAACACCAAGTGTTGTATCAAGCATCTCAGTGAGACCATGGAGAATTTAATCTAAATTCCATTGAAATGGGTCATTTGGAAGTACCTTAAAACAACATCAAATCCTAAAAGCAAAAAGGTCATTAACTCAAGTGTAAATTACTAAAAAGTGAGAGATTTAAATATATCCAAGAGGATAGAATTAAATACCTTATTCAGATTTGTACTCTGAATTCAGATTTATACTCTATATTTTCTCCCATTCATTTAATATAATACAGATGCATTGAAATATTAATTCCTAGGTGGTCCATATCACATCTCAAAATAATACAGTTTCTGATCCATATCCATGAAAAGGCTCATCTTACTTATCAAACTTTCTTTGCTTCCTCCACCATCGCCCAGATTCCTTTTGGACCAAATATCTGGCAGTGCCAAAGAAAACACAGCTGAGGCTGTGACCCATTGTAACTTCTGACTCATGTGATCACATGAAGGAAATATTCACTATAGCACCCAATCAAGCCGTCTTTTAAGCCCTCTCTCTTTGCCCAGCTTGCTCTGCCTGCTCTGCAAGTTGAGAAGGCATCACTTACCCATACCACTTCTTCGTGGGCAAAACATCACCTAGATACAATTAAGTTGAAAACAAAAAACATAAAGAGATGACTTAAAAAGTTCCCATGATGAGGTTAAAATGATTAACCTTCAAACATCATGAATTAGGCCCACCTATGCATGCATTAAGTGGTACATGTGTACTTGAGAGATTTGAGTCTTTGTTATAACTGGAATTATCAGAATATTGCCCTAGACATTGAAGTCATAAAAGGAATCCTCCAACAAACCAAGGCAAACCTCTTGGCCTCAATCACCTGAAGGGACAAAGCAAATATATCACGTGTATGAGAAGACCAGCTATACCACTAAAGCATTCACATTACATTTTCTTAAAAAACACCACTCTGGAGTAGGGGAAAGAGGGAGGGGGCGGGGGAGAAATGGCCCAAACAATGTATGCACATATGAATAAGTGAGTTAAAAAAAAAGGAAAGTAAAAAAACCAAAAAAAAACCTACTCTGGTGGCCCTCTGACTCTCTAGGACTAAAATGGATAGAGCTGAGGTTAGAAAAACAAAACAAAACAAAACAAAACAAAAAACAGTATTAATGAAAGAGAGTTCTCTATAAGCCATAATCCTCAAGCAGAAAGATATGAATAGCAGAAGTTTGATGGTTCTGCAATAAAAAAATTTGCCCAGAAAAGGTTAAGAGAAAGCTTGATAAGACAGTTAAAAAAGGCAAGCAGGATGAATGTGGAGGAGACTTTCAAACTCTGGACCCCAGGGAAGATGTTGTCATCATGGCCTTCACTGAAGCAAAGAGAGGGCACATCCAAGGTGCCGGGCTTGTAAAGTCACAGGCTAGAAAAGACCAAGGGGTTCTTATTCAGAGATGTGTATTCATCTGCAATTCAATAGGGAACATGTAAAATTACACAATTTAACACTAACCACTTAGTCACTTCACCTTCTCAGACCTTCATTACCTCAGCTGTTAAGTGAGGGAGGTGGACCAGATGATTTCTAAGTTCTCATCCAGATCCTAAAAAAAGATCAGGTCTGTGGAAAATGCCTGAACGCTTATGTGGTCAGTAATCCACTTCTTTCTAATATGCCACCATATCTTCACATATTCAGATACAACTATTACAACTAAACTAGCATTGTAAATTTTACAATTACAGAATGGAAGCAGAAGTAACTCCTGATATTTCTTATTATTTCTGTGATAATGGTATTGTGTCAACTAGGGAAAAAATAAAAATTAAGCACAAAGCAAATATATGATGAACCTTTCATTTTTAATAGAAAATAGACTATATGAAGCTATTTCTTGGCCTTTTCCACTGACACTGCTAGGCCACTTTAAGTGAAAAGAAGGCTAGATCAAGAATAGCTTACATAGGAGGAGGCTCTGGTAGAACTACATTTGTGTCATCGTGGTCTGTGTGGTCTAGAGGGAAGCACAGTGGGCTAGGAAATTTGGATTCTAGGCCTAACCCTTCCAGTAACCATGTAATTCTGGGCAAGATATTTCACTTTTCCTGCCCATTTTCTATTTGTAAAATAGCAATAATTCTACATGTGTCTTCTACCTCAAAAATGCACTAAGTACAAGGATAAAGTATGTGAAATTTTTGAGTTCTAAGGAGGAAAAGTATTATAGGCAGCATGGCAATGATAAAGACACACTGATACAATTTATAAAACTTACAATCTTAATCAGGTGAAGGCAAGGGGGAGGGATAGTCACTGGACCTCAGAGTTGCAAAGTAGATCATCAATAGGTAAAAGCAAACAGGATGACTATGACAGTGAGATATAAACACACAGCCTCAATGTCCCACTGAAAAGAATTCAACTAGACAGGCAGGAAAGGCACATGCCTCATTCACAGAGCTATGAACAAACACATTTTCCATTTTCTTCCTTTTAATTATTTCTCCCTCCCTTCCTTCTTCTCTTCCCCTTTCTCTGACCCTTCCTTCCACACATTCAAAATTTTTGCATTGAAGGCTTAAATTTTCTGAGTCCTAGATACGAACAAAGTCTTTGAGCTGCTCAGTCATTTAAATGAAAACTACTTAAGTTCCATAATCAATATTTGTGATTAAGGGAGCATAGGCCCACAGCATGCAAAGGACCAATGGACCCCTAATGGCTGCTCCCAAAGAGGCAGAGAGATGCCCTGGCTGTCATAGCCTGAAGTGACAGGGGACCAGCCACTGAGGTAGGCCTTGTCCACCTCTCTTCAGAGTTTCTCTTTCATATACTTGTCCTTTCCCCTCAAGCCTCCTTTGTTTTTCCTGTGGGCAGGCAGTGGGGAGAGAGCCATACACTAAGTGCCAATTATAGTGAAGCCTTTTCATTCACTATCTTATTAAGCCTTACTATCTATTTCTTAGGAAAATATTCCTGTAACAGTGGACAGAAGACAGACTTGTGGAGGACTTGTTAGGAGGATGTTACCAGGACAAGATGAAGAGGGACTACATAAAGGCAAACAATATCAGCACTGTCAGTTGGTGGAAAAGTATTTCTATTCTAAAGGGCCAGATAAGTATTCTTCTGGAGTAAAGCTGAGTTCTGCATGTAGTTAAGGTAAAAAATATTTCCAATCGTAGAATATAGACTCCCTGGACTCCAAAACAGCTACTTTCATACTCCTAAATTTAGAGGCTGAATTATATGTGTGTGTCTGTGTGTATAATTTGCAGTAGAAATTATTTTAAATTATAAGTAAGTTATATCATAAATTATAAACTTACATACATAATTATAGATAGGTAAACAGACAGGCATATAACAATACTAACACCTATAGTTTTGTCAGTGTGGCTCTATTCCAAGCATTGTGCTAGGTGCTTTACAAACATATAAGGCCCTGGCAACAAGGCAAACATTATCTTTCCATTCTGGAGGGAGAAGCTGGGTCTAGAAAGTTAAGTAACATACCCGGGGTCATATAAGTAGTAAGGGATAGAGGCAGGATCCAAACACTGGTCTGTCTGCCTCTGGAGTCTGTGCTTATTAGATTATGCTATGCTGTCTCCATGTTTATCATTTTAAGATTTAGCTTGCATTCCACTTTGCTTCTAGGAATGCTGACTGAGGGAAAAAGGAAGGCAACAACAAGAGCATTAACATGAGGGCAGGGAGTAGACAGAGGCATATTAGAAGAAAGAAGAGAAAACCACACCACTTCTCTAACATTGGCCCTAGCTTTAGGAGGAAACAGATGCTACAACTGCCATATTTCACAAGTTCACTTGTATCATACTCCTTGATGCTGCCACAGAGAGGTTAAGAATAGGAAAGTAGGACTTCCGCTTCTAAGGTACCCAAGTGCAATGCATTGACTGTTCAGACCCCTAACCGTGGGAAGGGCAGACCTAGATGCCACGACTCTCACTGACAACCCATTTGTGGGCAAGGTTGGATCTCATTCTCCATTGTGGCTAATAGGTGCCTTAGCTCTAAAGCCTGCTCACAGCTCTTGATCCTGGGTCTTCCCCTTTGTTTCATCCCCTTATTCCAATGACCACAGTCCAAGCAAACAGCAGCAGTGACCTGACTCATCTGGATTACATTAGTTCTTTGCATCATGCTATTTACATTCATGAAATATGGTATCGCAAAATCACATTTAGTAAAACTTTTCCTTAAAAACAAATTTATTTTCTAATCCTCTTTTTATTGGTTAGAAGCAAAACAAAATGGATCATATATTTGAAAGAAGAGAGAAGAAAAAAGACATACCTCTCTAGACATGTCTAGCAAGCAAATACCCCAAGAATACTTATCAAGTGTTTACCCTGGGATATCAGAGGGGAAATGTGAAAGTTATTTTCTTGGCTACCATCACTTTAATATGAAACTTAAACTCAAAATACAACCACAGGCACATTCCTTTAATTTAGAGAAAGTAAAATTGTGCTTAGGGAGGGAGCATAGACAGAGCTCTTACCTGGCATAACTATGGTCTGTGGGGCTGCTGCATCAGTACTCAAGCAGAGACGGACACCTTTGGCTAATCTATCACAGAGCAGAGTGATGTGTTTCTTCAGTCGACTCGTGTCTTTGGGCATGTTCAGTTGGCTGCTAAGGTTCAAAGCCTGCTCCTTTGAACTCTTCGACAGGCATGTCTTCAATAGGTGAGCAATGGCAGCATCCACAGTTTCTTCCCAGCCCTATATGAAAAAGCCAATTAGGAATTTATGCAATGATGACAACGAGCAAAGTGGGCACTTTACTTCAACCAGGTTATGCAGAAGATTGAGTGTTCATGTTCAAGCATCGGAAAAGAACATGGTGTCTTCCATACTCCAAACCAAGATGGTTTTGAATTCTATCTCTGTCAGCTGTTTGACCTTGACCAAGTTAACTAATTCCTCTTGGCTTATCCTCCAATGGTTGGGATGATTAAACGAGATGGTTTATGAGAAGCATTTAGCTCTGTGGCAGGTACCGAGTAAAAGGTAAAATTAAGGTTATTAATCTCTGGTGCAAGTCTGTTTGGTGATCTGGTGGTGAACCTGCTGGATCATAATTTGTTCTGCTTGTACCTCTGCTGAGGAGGAACTGGCCCACATAGGGAGGACCACTGGATACCTCAGGGACAACTGCAGTAGAGGGAAGATCCTGGTGTCTCCATGGCTGGTGGCTGGGGCCATTGCCTTGGAGCTGTAGGCAAAATCAAAGGAGCTGATTCAAAAAGGATTTTGGAGATGTAAGGGATGATCTAGTCCCAATTCACTATCAAGTGACAATAAGTGACACAAAGCAAAGAAATGGGCCATTTTCCCCACTTCTGTTGAGAACAGTGTGGCACTAGGAGCCTTCACTAAGTGCTATTCTATCCTCAATCTTGCACTTGAGTCACCTTGCAAATATTCAAATTAGATGTTGTTACTCTTAAGCCTCAAAACCTGAATCTAAATATTTAGTTTAGCATATAAAGCACTTTGCTTCAGCTCCTGTTCTATGGTACTCTCTTCCCATCCCCCCCACCCACATTCTCCCTCTGGCTCAGGCCTCTGCATCTGCTCAGCTCTCCTGCTACAGTGCTCTACCTCTACTGTTTACCTGGCCAACAGTGACTTTTGACAACTGAGGAACTGCCTTCCAAGGATGGCATTCATAGGCCCTCTCTGGAGCCCTTAGAGCTACTGCTACTCAGTTCCATCACAGCACTCTTTACCCTGAGTTGTGGTTGCTGTTTGCAGGTCCAGTTCCCCACTGGAGTTTCGAAAGTTCTCCACATCCCTGCACTGTGCTTAGTAAGCTGCCAAGAAATGCATTTGCTGGACAGAGACATGAGCTATAGAGCCAGGATCCTAGAGTTAAGAGGTCTTTGGAGATCTTTAAGGGATTTTCCCAAGATCCTTTATACAATAGCAATCATCTGCCTAGACATGGTAGCCTTCAAGATCCAAAATTATAAACTTTTTGAGGCAGTTCAGTTCCAGCAGAAAGCTATTCCTTTTCCAAATCAAATTTGCACCAGTGGCCCTTCTCTTCTACATGACATCCCTCTATATCGTGAAGACAGTAATTCTGTACCTTCTCCAGAATAAACATCCCAATTCCTCAAGTTCTTCCTTATACAAATATGATTTCAAGTTTTCTCTCCATCCTAACCACTTTTCTTTGAATGGGCTCCAATTCCAAAAATTTAGGCAGCTAAGTAGAGAGCCCCAAACTGACCTTAGTATACAAGGTTAGGGCTGGAAGTATAGGGTAGGACACTGCCCACCCTCCCATTTTCTAGGAATTCTGTCCTCGGTAGCCTCTGCTCTCTTGGCAGCTGCACCGTCCCCTTGATTCTCAATGAGTGCAGATACCTACTGCCCAGGTCCCTTCTAGGCTTCCCTTCTAGGCTTATGCAGTTGTTTCTTTAGACCAAAGTACAGACTATATATATCCACTAGAGAATGTCCCACTGATTTCCATGATTGGTTAATCAGGAATTTTGACTCTATTGACCCATAATAGATGTCACTAGGCAAATTAGGAAAGAAATAAATGGTTTTTCAATAAACTTGAAAATTCAAACTGTTAAAACAGCTTCTTGCCTCAAACCACTAAAACATAATAAATCACTGTTTGCTACAAAGATCTCTCTGTTATAAAAAATCTAGACAAATGTCTAAAACTTGACTTTGTATTTCAATAATAATGGGAAGAGGTAAAAAAAAAAATCCAGTGTCACCAGAAAAAAAACAAATTTCCAAGTTGCTTTTAGAGCCTTTGATGAAGACCTCTGGAATGGAGGAAGCAAAGATCCCTTGAGTATAAGTTGGCGTTTGTATGCTCTGGTCATTTCAGCATTAAAAGTTTTTACTCTTTTATAGACTATTCATCTAAGCAAGCTACTGTGTTCATAAATAGATTACAGTAGCTTATTAGATAATTTAAGTAGGTATGGCATTTTATCAACACAGAAGTACCATGTCATATTTAGGTATTTGGCAGGGATAGTTCTTTAATATAATGAGGCATCATGCCAATACGTCAGAAAGATTACTACTAAAATACAGTAAATATTTGGAGGGTCTGAATTGCTACAAAATTCAAACACGATAATAAAAGGGAATGTTTATGAGACAAAAGAAGAGCCTGTAAGATGAGAGTTTTGCTACACAAAAAAGCAATGCCATTATTCACTGATCACACATACAGCATTTGTAACCTAATCAAATGTGAAACAAAACTATGTGGAAACTGGAATCTCAAGTGTGAGAAGTACCTTAAAGGTAAGCTATTTTAATCATCTTTTTGGTGTTTGAGTGCATCACCTTTAATAAAAGCCCTATAACTAAGCATGCACATGTGCCCACGTGCATGCACGCACACCTAATCTTTATTCTTTAAGGCTGCATATCTATCATATTAATACTCTGCCTCATGCTGCAAGAGTGAAAGAAAATTTTAATGCGGGGAACATATCAATCACATGTCTGGAAGGGAACTATGTGCCCTTCAATGAGAATGAGTGTTTGTTTTAGTTTTATCCCACTCAGCCCTGTGTATTGATTTTAGAAAACAATAGTGAGTGTGAAGTAAAAAGATGGAAGGAAGAAAGGGAGGGAAGGAAGAAGGGAGGAGAGAACTTAAATGTCCATGTTATTCTAGTTTACCTTCTTTATAGCCCTTGTCAGTATTAGAAATTAACTTATTCACTGGGTTTGGGGGAGTGAGGTTATTTTGTGTAGTTTAGTTTTGATAATTGGGTTTTTCTTTTGTTCCCAAATCCTTGGCTCTACCCCACTGTGAAAATGCTGTTTTTGTCATAGTTTTCTATCTGAACTCCTGCCTTCCGAGCCTGCTTACAGTGTCACTGTGCCTGACTGGGCTTTCTGGATCCTGCCAGATGTCCTCCAAGGAACTGGACTCTGTGGCCATGGCCTGCCATCTGACTTCTCCAATGCCAAGCTGCCTTACATGCCTATTCCTCAACATAGCTACCTGGGTTCTGGCTCCTAGGTTTTACCTGCCTGTGCAAAAGTTTCTGCACTCTGCGCAGGTCCTAAATGCATTTGAATATCAGCATGATGTTGAGATGCCCTGATTCATGAGCCAGCTCTTTAATTCCAAAGCCCTATCTTTGCCTAGTCTAGCTGTCCTGAATGAAGTCATCTGAGCTATGCTCTTTGTTATTCAAAAATTAGAGAGCCATGGCTGAGTTTCTGATTGCTTCTGATGACTCTGCTAGTCTCTACTGGTCACTATGCCTACTACCAGTACCAAATAAGTGGCTTATCAGAAACAGAAGCAGAGGGTCTGACCAAGTTTGTAAAGTTAATTCCTTAGGATATCAACCAAAACAAGCAAAGAAAAAAAATAAAAGAACTCCCATGCCACCTGTGAATTAAAATAGATGAATTGAAGAGGGTTGCCCCAGGAATTCTGGGTTCTGATTTAATCTCATTCAACTCCATTGCCCCTTCATTTTGTGTTCTTGGACAACTCACTTAACCTTTCTGGGGTATATGTGAGGTCTCCATAAAGTAGGAGTAACACTATAAATTTACTATGCCAATCTTTCATGATGGGAGAGGGAGTAACATACTCTGAAATCTTAAGTGGAAGACAATACAGAATAAGCAAATGTAGTTAATCCTATTTTTTAAAAAAAATCAGAAAATAGAAGTAAACACTGAAATCCATTGTGCAAAGCAACATCCTTAAACTCTTTTCAAATAAATTACAAACTACTGCAAGCTTGTATCTGTAATAGAAACGCTACCACATCCTTAACTGTAACAGTGTAGGGGAACCACAAAATACCACTATAGCATTTATTGCTAAGTGTGCACAGTTAACTCTAAGGCACAGAGAAAGAAAAGGAGATCCATCTCAAGAAACACATGGCCATTATGTGACTGTGGCCTAGGTTTCAGCTGAGGAGAACAGACACATATAATGCCCGACTTGCTTTATAAATGGGAAGCAAAACAACCTTTATATCATATTCACGTATTTTAAAAATATTTTATTATAGGAAAATAAATTTCCTCTTGAATAGATGTAAAGGATTCATAATGAAAGGTTTTTGGTATTTATAAGTGATCCAAAGAACCTGATGGTTATTATTTTGTATCATATTATATTGTATCAGGCTGTACTTGGCCAAGATAGCAAAGAATAATTGAATGAAGGGACATTCTGAACCTAAGTTCAAATAAAAACTTGTACCTTAGTTGTAAATTACGTATCTTTAAAGGTATGAGACTTTCCAGGATTTACCTAGGTTTAGATTATTTCCAAAGAAATAGATTGCATTTAGTGACTCTTCTTGTCATGAAAAGAGGGCTCAGAATATTGAGCTCATCATCCTTAAAAAATAAAACAGCTCTTTGAACCTAAAACATATAATAAAAATGAAACCAAGTTATATGGTCTATGGCATCTCAATGAGTTTGAAATCATATTCATTGGTTTTTATAAAAATAAAACTTGAAAAAACGAGCTTTAACTGTTTAAACTCATCAGTAATAAAATGAAGCTGATTCCACATGTAAACCACTCACTCTATTCTACCCCCCAAGGTCATTTCTTTTTTATTTTAAATTGACCTATTTGGCTTTTGAAGCTCTGGTTTTGCTATGATACAAAAGCTTTAAAACTCTAAGCTTTCAACCAAAAGTAGACCAAAGTGCAGGCTTACCTACCCTGCTTTGTGAAAACT